CCCGCCACAGGCTGAGCCCCCCCAGCTCTCCCGGCCTGTCCTCCCGGCAGAGCTGTTCCAGCCCTCTGAATCCCCTTTGCCTTTTCAGAAACAGATATCCTCCCTACCGCAGATCTTCCCAAGTCATCCTGCAGCAGGGTTGCCCAGACCTTTTTGGGGCTCAGGCCAAGGCACAGCAGAGAGACCTGCCGCCGGGGAGGGCGGGGGTCAGGGACGTTGCAGTAAGAGTGGGCAGCAGGCAGCACCCACCCGCTTGCCTTCTGCAACTTGCAGGGATGCTTCTGAAGGTTTCAGCTGTGGGAAGGTCCCTAGAGAGCTGCTGCCTCGTGCTGCGGCGCTTCCCCTGAACCTTGAGCTGATGTTGCGTTTTGGAGTCCTCAGACTCCAGCTACCCGTAACTGCTGCCGTTGGGAAGCGTGCTCCCACCTGAATGCGCCTGAGAGCGTTTGGCAAGCTGGATCAGAGGGCTCCACCCCACCCACCTATATTCACTTATGCGCTCCTGTTTCTTTCCTCTGGCTGTCTCGGTGCAAGTTTGAGAGCCGAGCAGAGCACGTCAACCCTTCAGTGAATCATGCAGACGGGACTCAGAGGAGGGAGAAAAGCAAAGGACAGGCTGCCAGGCAAGTGGATACCAAATCTCAAAGGATACTGGTCCACTCGTACCCTTTTCCTTCGAGTCAATCCACAGGCGCTTTCCAAAACAGCCAGCCTGGTATCAGCCACCCACCGGAGAGTTCAGAAATCTCATCCTAGAGCCATCAGCTTTAGTGAAGAGAAAGGGGATCAGCTCTGCATCAGCCCTGGATGCTCCACGAGTGGTGGAAACATGGAGGAAACTCCAGGCCATGGCACACCAGACATCTGGTGTGGTGATATTGTACAGTTCATCCCCAAGTTACTCACGCACTCTCAAGTGCTGACAAGTACCGATAAGTGATGTTTATCAGAAACATCACTGCAACACCACACACCTCAAATCCTGTGTTCAGAGTGGGGCCCCTCAGTACAAGAAGGACATTGAGGTGCTGGAGCGTGTCCAGAGAAGGGCAACAGAGCTGGGGAGGGGTCTGGAGCACAAGTCTGCTGAGGGGCGGCTGAGGGAACTGGGGGTGTTCAGTCTGGAGAAGAGGAGGCTGAGGGGAGCCCTCATCGCTCTCTACAGCTACCTGAAAGGGGGTTGTGGTGAGGTGGGGGTTGGTCTCTCCTCCCAAGTAACCAGCGATAGGACGAGAGGAAATGGCCTCAAGTTGTGCCAGGGGAGGTTTAGATGGGATATTAGGAAAATGTCTTCACTGCAAGAGTGGTCAGGCATTGGCACAGGCTGCCCAGGGAGGTGGTGGAGTCACCAGCACTGGAGGGGTCCAAAAAATGTGTAGATGTGGCACTTCAGGACACGGTTTAGTGGGCATGGTGGTGTTGGGTTAACAGTTGGAATTGGTGATTTTAGAGGTCCTTTCCAACCTTATTGATTCTGTGATTCTGTGATGAGTTTCAAAACAGGCTCATATGCAGCCTGATATCCATCAGGATAACTACAACATGGAGACAGAAGTGCTATTATTACTACTTTCCACAGCAGAAAAAAAAAAATACGCAATATTGGTAAATCGATTTCCCACAGGGGAAATGGGAAACTGACAAGTAGATGTGCCTAGATTGAGCTCTGCAGTGACCCTAAGTCAAAAGGGTCTCTGTGCTCTCCTGTCTCACCAAGGGGAAGCCAGAGGCACTTCCCACCTTCAACAAATGGAGAGGACAACCTGATTCTTGCAGCTTCAGAGGAACCTCAGGGTGGTTGAGACCAAAGGTCTATCACAAGAAGATACCACAGACAGTTATTGAAAACACCTCGCCATCTGAACCACCAGGAAGGGAAGCAAAGCAAGTCAACTGTGGGCCAAACCCACTGGTAGGTGACACCTGCCAGCACCAGTGCCCTGCTCTTTCATGTTTAATCAAGATCAGGCTATACAAAATAGCAATTTCAGAAGATGCACAGATGGGCCACTGAAAGACAAATTCCAGGTTCAAACAAAGCAGGGAAGACCTACCTCTCCTTTCTTTGCTTCTGTATTCCTTCTGGAATACACTGGCCCCATACCAACAGTCTGAACATGAACCACAGGTCAAAAAGATGCACCCATCAAGATCACCTTCATTAGGATGATGAAGAATCCCACAAGCAATGAGCAAAACTTTCTAGAGTTACATGTCAGGAAACAAACATACTGTTTGGGAAAATAAGTATCAGTTCCCTGGAAGAATCTGGGTTTATTTACTTGAATGGACATTAGTTATTTGATTTCATGAGATCTGCTGGAGAATACTATAAGAATCCTATTTTCTTCAAAGAAAACCCCAACTCTTAAAGATCACGTATTGGAAGTGACTCATTACCTTGACTCAAATGTACAAGCTAAACAAAATTATACACATAAGGTGGAGGGGTTGACATAAAATGACCAACCTGCCCTAGTCGACTCAGTTATGTGTGGGAACCTGGCCATCAGCACAGGAACCAAAAGAGAGGGGGATGCAGTTGCTGGCGGTACTGCTCTTCATGTGTCACATGCTGGTCTCACAGCAGGGCGGTGAACCATCCAGCTCAAAGACTCTGGGCTGTATATCCTAAAGAAGTCCTAATCACCTTCTCATGCAGGAGTATTATTGTCCAGTCTCTCACACCTATCCAAGCAGAACTGCAAAACATTTCTTGTTTTAAAAGTTATTAATAAATTACCTGAAAGATCTTGAAATTCAGGCTTTTGACTGAAGATGAGGTAGTTAGTGGCAATAAAATGAAGAAGCCAAGTTGAAAGGCAATCAGAATTGTGAAACTGTGAGAAGAAAGGAAACACATAACTTAATACTACCATGTCTAAAACACAACCATGCTTTGCATGTCAAAATATTTTAGATTTCCACTGTCAACATAGCAGTTTACCAAATGAAGTTTTGACTGTAGGAGATGATGAAGGAAAAGGTATTGCTGGAAATATGTAGATAGATGGAGACTCATGAGTGAACAATAAAACTCCCTCCCACAGGTTAGGTGTGACCTAACCCCTGGGGCCCCTTTGGTCACAAATCTTGGAAATTTTTGTTTTCTGCGCAGAAGCAGAGCTTCAGAAAAAGGAAGGTAAGGAGTGCAGCATGTTGGTTTTGTTGTCTTCTCTCTCTCCACAAAATGCTGTTCACTTAAGACAATATCCTACCCGAGACTTGTAAACAATTCAGGTTTTATTTTCTTCTTCTGTTTTCCCAATTTGTTTTTACTGTTTCTCTTTCTCTTTTTCCAGCCTCTAATCTTTTCTTTTCATGCGTTTTATGTATTTCACTCAATATTCTACCAGGTTGGATTTCCTTTGCCACTTGCACCTCATACAATTTTCTTTTTGACTAAAAGAGGAAGTAGTGCATCTTCACTTGCCTTCATTTCACTGCCTTTTCTGGCAGAAGCTGTAATTAATCTGACGCTGCAATGTGTCCTTGATGAAGGAAATCACACAGATTATGACTGTGTGATTTCACACAGTGTATGACTGCACATTCTGCAATAAAAGGTTGAAGCCCTTATTTTAGCCAGCCTTGTGCCACCAGATATCAACAGGTTGCATATCAACGTTTGTCCTTGGGAATGGAAATTATTAAGATCTTAAAAATCATAACAATTAAACAACACCCACAAATTAGAATCAACATAAATATTCTTATTTGATATATACAACCCATACCTTAGCTTTTTTGAGCAAGCTAACAATACTGAGACTTGTGGATGCCAGTTCCCTGCTAGGCATGCTCTGAAGCTGTGTGATAATGTAAAGCTCACAAATATGCTGGAGTCTCATTACTTGGTACATCTCTGCACAGATCAAGAGGGACATAGCTTGGAGAATACTGGCTGAAAAACAAGAAGACATGTGACATATATTTTACCTGTTTGACAAGACTATCAAAGCCACTTTTCACCGAATCATCTTTTAAACATCTAACAATAAACACAAAATCAAATTGCTGGTGATCACCTCCTTTTATTTTTCATTATTATCATTATAAGTTTCCTATATCACTCTCTTTTCCAAATGAACTATTTAATTAACAGGAAAAGAGTAGTTAGTACTTTTTAGAAGGTAAGTATAATAAATTGTTGTCAATATCCTGTACCTTGAAGATGCTGAGTCAAATGCTGCTGGTCTATTTAAAGTAAGGATTAATAACAGGTTTTAGATTTCTAACTTCTCATTCAAAAAAAAACCTCTATGATACATGTACAAGAAAGTATAGTAAAAAGGCCAAAAAGAAACCAAATCAACCATATTTTTAAAAAAATACTGTACAGTGTTGCATATTTAAACTGACAGGCAATGAAATGTTAGACAAACTAAAAAGAAAAACGTACGGGAAAGCCTAAGCACAAGATAGAATTATTTAAAAAGAAAACAAAGCAAAAATACATGTCATCATTCATTCATTCATTATATCAAAGGAAAATTATCTGTATTTAAATAAAATTTCTTATTTAGTTTGTAGGTTTTTTTCTCATTAAAAAAGACAAAGGTTAAGACAGAAAGAATGCTCTAGCTCAATTTTTCTAGCCAAATACTCCAGTTGAGACACTTTTTTCTGGTTTTACATACAAATAAGATATCCATGTGTATAAATAAGGTATTCGTGCAATTTAGCCTTGTTCATATTAAACTTAACAAAATATGTGCTAAACAAAATTACAGTTTTGAAATAGAACCCAGAATTGAGATTAGAAAGCTGTTACGATGTAGAAGAATTCCAAATATTATAATGGACCAGAAATGACATTTCACAGTTTTTCGTCTTGCTATGTAAGCACAAAACAAATACAGCATCTTAATACTGATATTTGTTCTGCCTGCAGTTGAGTTTACTTGAATAAGGCTGAATTGATTACTTTTTTTTGCACAATATGAACAAGTTCTCTTTCTTGAGACATTATACATTAAAATATTGGCATTTTTCAATTAAATAAATGCTGCTACATTACTCTGTATCAATGCCCCACTGCGGAAAAATGAGTAACAGGTATACATGTACTTTTAAATTTTCTTACCTGGGCAGCAGGAGTCGGTATAAAGATACTCTAGAAAGGAGAGGAAAGTGTCTTTGGAAACCCCATACACTGGAACCAGAATACTATTTGCTTCTAGATAATTACCATTAAACATAGCTGCCATTACCTCACAGCGAGCTACCAGAACTGCTCTGTGGGCTGGTACAGTTGCACCTGCAGGATGCAAGACAAAAATCTATGATGATTTTATATACACAGAAAGATCTGCATTTTAAAGCTGATATTTTCTTAGAAGGCCTTCAATTCACTGAACATGATTAAAGTGTTTAAAATTAACAATATCCAATACATTACTAACAACACACTCTATACCAGTCAAGATGTTTACATCTGCCTAGTAGCCACCAGCAAACAAAAAGGAATACAAATTTATTGTGACAACCTGCTCCCAACATCAGGTGCTCCCAAAAGGTCAAACTTTTATCAGTCAGAAACAGGCTTTCAACTAGGAAAAAATCTGACACCACTGTCATTACACCAGTTACACTAACTGGCCCATTGCATAAATATGCAGTGCTGTGAATTATTATGCAAATCAGTAATTTGTATTCATCAGTAATCCCATTGGTAATGAATGTGTGTTTCAGAAGTCAACCTTTCACATAACCACACAAAGCAGAGAAAGGCAAATTACACCAGATGAAATTCCATTAAATCCATGAAGTAGGTAGGAATTTAACCAGATTAAATATTTTGCCTAAGTGAATTTCCTGATGGTTGTCTTACGAAAATAATGCTGATAAATTTTTCCAGAAATTTTTCCCTTTTGTAATATTTGCAAGTGAATCATTTACTTTACTGCAGCATTTGGAAGACCTAGTAAGGTTAACAGCCCAAGGTGGTAGAGGTCTTACAGGCTCTTAACGAAAACGTTGACGACCTGAGCTGCCAGCCCTGACACTCGGACTTCTGCAGAGCCCAGCTGAACTGGACAGTCCTGTGTGCAAGAGAGTGCCAAACAAGTGCCAGGCAGGACAGTAACCAAAGACAGAATGAGAGCTTACGGTCGGATGTAAATGTTTTAATCGAAATTCTAATAAACAGATCAAATGACATGCAAGATAAATATACCGTAAATACTTCTACAGAAGTTAGTCTTAATTTCCTCCTTAACCACAACCCTATCACCTACCTAATTCCTTGAACACATCTGGCACTTTTTCATTTTTGTTCTATTGCTATTCACTTGCGCTTCTACTTCCAAATTGTCTAAGCTGCATACAAAATTTACGTATTTCTACAGAGAGAGAACACATGTGAATGGTATTATAGATTTTTGTGAATGGTATTATAGATTTTCACACATGACACGAGCAATACACGATGCAGGTGTGATGTAAGACAGGCATGCTGTTCTGCATGTGCACGCAATTGGATATTTACCTACTAACTAGGAGGTTCAGTCATGTTATGAGTCTTTACACAGACATAAGAGACTCCCATTTTCAATAGCTCCCAAGTACTTTTGTAAGCTGGAAAGCTCAAAGCAACCCCCAATATTCAAGGAATTGAAGTTGAAGACTTGCCAATGTATTTGCCTGATCAAGACTAAAGCCTTCAGGTTCTATAAGTAATTATCTAATTTTAATACAATTATTGTGGCTGATGAGCTAGAGAAAAAAGGCTTGGAAGATTTATGAAGCATTAGGAAAAACAGCTCACAGTTTAGTAGTGGCTAAGCACGCTTTTCAAAAAATACTTGTCAATGCATTTGGCAGTAATTTCTTTTCTATACAATAGGCAGTAGTGATATGGTTCCATCAGCTTCCCACAAAGTCTCTCTCAGGAGTGGGACACTGAGATGAATTATTCATGTCATTAAACTCAGCATCAGTATTTTGTTCTCATTTTCAAAGATCGTTTTGTTTTTCCTGTCTATTAAACAGAACATCTAGAAAGAATTTGCTTGTCCTCACGTGCTTATGTTTGATGGATTAATACTTCATATTTGGCTCTGAGGTTTAAAACTGAAAATAATTAACAATTGTCTAATTCTAAAAGACCATTTCTGCATGAAGGGTGGGCGTGCACAAATTACGAAAATCATTAGCATTTAAAAAAGTCTCATTCTTGTTCTCACAAAAACATGCAACACTTTCCCTCGCTCTGTGTCTTTATTTTTAAGGGTGAATGCATTTAGTTTCCAGAAAAAGTCACCTATGACACCGCAGCATATTGTTGCACCCAAGGACATTCTTTGCAGACAAAATGGGAACAGAAGACAAGTTTCACCGGCACAGCTCCTGCCCGTACCTTTGCTGAGGAGCGCTTGGCATCTTTGTGAACAGACCTACGTAATGCCACCAACAACCTTTGCAACTCAACAGCCTGTTACAGACAAGTCGGCACGGAAAGCCAGCCACTGCTCCCCCGTGTCTTTTTAATCCTGGCCACAAAGAGAACTAGACAATTACCATAACCTCAACAGGCTTCTTTTTTTTAAAAAAAACCCCAAACCCACAATAATTTAGATGCTTCTTTTCACAGCTGTAGGGTTAAGCAAGAGGCAGGTCTAACCCAGGCAACTGCAAGGCTGAAGGTTGCTTTCACAAGGAGTCACCTATCATACAGAAGTTGCAGAGACCTGTGACAGAAACATGAAGATTGGTACAGGAGCATCTAGAAGGGCAGTAAAATGCAGCAGGTGTTGATGGCACCTAGATTAGCAGGTCATCAAAACCCCAGCACATCTACATGCATTTCTAGGGATGCCCCATGTTGCGGGAAGAAGGCCAGTGAATAAAGCCTAAGAAGGCACAGGAGTGGGATGTAAGTCCCTGTGAACTTCTGAAGGGTAGAGAAAGGCACATCCACAGCCAGCAGCAGCCTGAGATGGACAAAGGGAAGGTGGTCAGGAGTCAATAACCAGCATCTTTGGTCTTTTCAGAAATCACAGAAACACTAGGTTGGAAAGGACCTTCAAGATCATCAAGTCCAACCATTAATCCAGCACCACCATGTCTCCTAGACCATGTCCTGAAGCGCCACATCCACACGTTTCTTGAACACTTCCAGAGATGGCGACTCCACCACCTCCCTGGGCAGCCTGTTCCAATGCCTGACCACCCTCTCAGTGAAGAAATTTTTCCTAATATCCAATCTAAACCTCCCCTGGCGCAACTTGAAGCCATTTCCTCTTGTCCTATCGCTAGTTACTTGGGAGAAGAGGCCAACACCCTCGTCGCCACAACCCCCTTTCAGGCAGTTGCAGAGAGCGATGAGGGCTCCCCTCAGCCTCCTCTTCTCCAGACTGAACAACCCCAGTTCCCTCAGCCGCTCCTCATCCGACTCCGTAAGTCCATGCCTCTCCAAGGTTTGATGCTGGGCAGAGCCCTTGGGTATGTCCCAGTGCTTGTGCAGATGGGAATGTGAGCAAGATAAATGGATTTTAAAATAAAATCACTGTCCCCTGCGGTGCAATCCTTGGTTTATCCCTGCTACCTTGGTGCTATGCCATTGCAGGAGCCTTTCCTGCAGCACATCCCTCGTTTGCTAAGCCTCCACGGCGTGTGCGTGAATCAGAGGCACGAAGTCCACCATGACAGGCAGAGGGCATTTGTACAGGCTCAGCCCCAACAACCCACGCTGAGGATGGACACTGCTGTAAAGCATCCATAGGGACAAGCATTAGTTCTAAGCAAAAAGTGCTTTCCACAATGATAGCAAAGTATATACAATTTCTTAGTTTTGATGCAACAGAAAATAGAGTCACCTCCATTTCGCACTCTCCTGCAGCAAAGAGACATGCTGGAGGAACAGCGGTGCCCATGCTGAAAGGTACTGTACCTTGTATTTTGAAGATGACATCAGCTAGGACAGGCGTATTAAAAAACAGCCTGAGAGAAGTATTATACAGCTGCTTTATCTGGTGAGATCTGCAGTCCTTTACGGTGTTTAGCTGCAAAATAAATTATTAATAAAACACTGTCATGTGTAGTTGCCCACAAAATAAAAGATTACAAGACATCATTTATAGAGGGAACCAAAACAACAGCCTTTTGCTTTCGACTTCATGTTCTTTTGCTAACGCTACTCAGCTGTGCCTCTCGCACATGCAATCCTCTGCAATCATCTCTGTTGTTCATTTTCCTATTTCCTACAGTGCAGCAGCTCCAACGCGTCTCTGTCTTCTGCTCCGACACCCCAGCTCTCGCCTTGGTACTTTCTGACCTGTGACAAACCTCCCAGCACCTCTGGGCAGGTTTGACCGCATCATGAATCTTCTGGACTCCAAACTTTTTCATACATGCCCTGTTTGGACCCAAGGCTGCAGGTACATGAGGTTTGTGGGTTCTGGGGGAGCACTGATGGGACACACATCCGCCAGCCAGCACGATGCCGCATACGGATGCAAGGCAGACAAAGTTGTGTCTTTCTTGATATTGCCCTGAAATTGCCTCCACAGAAGCAGGGAGAGCTCACAGGCCGAAGCACGCTGCTGGTTTGGGCTGGGACAGAGTTACTTTCCTTCCTGGTAACGGGTATAGTGTTGTGTTTTGGATTTGGGATGGAAAGAATGTTGA